CCTGTGATAATGTAGTTGTTTTACTGTCCTTCGTTGACAGGTTTCTATCATTTACCTTTAATATATATTAATCTGTAACTTGATTTAGTCACGATATGGCTGAAATATTGCCAAAGTGACTTTAAATTTTAACGCACTCACTCCTCAAGTACGTATCAATAAATTACATCAAATAAAGCCAACAATTGGTTGCACCTAGTTTGGTTGTCAGTCCAGATCTGGCGGGTCATTATGCGACGATATCGCAATGGCCATACTAGATATACTCACGAATACTTACTTAATGGTGAGGATCGTGCTTGACAGTGATAATTTTTACACGACAAGGGATAAATATTTCAATGTCAAAACATCGAAGGATCTTTTTAATAATGTTGATTGCCATGACAGATTTTTTAAAAGTATAGAATTGATAGACAAAATTTGATTAATACGTTTTATAAATAGATAAATGGCACTTTATAAATGGTAGTTTAAACTAGCAACCACGACTCTTAGTGGCTGTGGGGTGGTGGGCTAGCCTAGTGGTTAAAGCGTTGGCTCGTCACGCCGAAGACCCGGGTTCGAATCCCCGAATGGGTACAATGAGTGAAGCCCATTTCTGGTGTCCCCCGCCGTGATATTGCTGGAATAATGCTTAAAGCGGCGTAAAACTAAACTCAGTCAGTCAGTCTAAGCAAACCCGGAAAAAACTGATTACTCAACGGATTAACCAGTCATACACAGCATCGTGGACACGCATTCATAATGACCTTGACTTCGCCAGATTCCGATATCTTCACAAGGTCATGCAACCCAGTCCCTTCCTACATTGGTCCCTGGCTCTCAATGGACGCCGCCACAATGTATTCTGCTTCCTGGCTCAGCTTTGGATTGCTACTCCAAAACAACAAGAGACAATGTGCTCACTGTGCAATCAAATCTACATAGATCTCCTGAGACATATGGCCAACAGTTGTACAGCTCTTAAGTCAATTCATGAAATCGTTTGGAGTGCAATCTACATGTTCAGTTCAGCAGTTCCAAGGATACAGTCGATAGTCTCCCCTTGAGTCTCCATGTGCACCTGAACAACTGTGATGAAAAAACTCTCCTGCAATACATCATGGGACGTCACCCAGGACAAGTGCACTGACCGAGACGTTCTCCTCGAATTTCACCTTCACTCAGCTCACTCTCTCTATGTGATGCAAAGTCTCAAGTTTCCCCTCCAAATGACTGCAAACATAGCAAATCTAGAATACTCTACCAACGCCAATATGAACTGAACTGTATGGCTCTCGCCCATGTGTCAGTGTATCCGCCATCATACAATATGAGTGAGTGAGTTTAGTTTTACGCCGCGCTCAGCAATATTCCAGCTATATGGCGGCGGTCTGTAAATAATCGAGACTGGACCAGACAATCCAGTCACCAACAGCATGAGCATCGATCTCCGCAAATGGGAACCGATGACATGTGTCAACCAAGTCAGCAAGCCTGACCGCCCGATGCCGTTAGTCGCCTCTTACGACAAGCATAGTCGCCTTTTGTGGCAAGCATGGGTTGCTGAAGACCTATTCTATCCCGGATCTTCACGGGCCCGCTCTGTGTCTTTTACTATATATACGTCGTTAAAGAAGGGTCAAGCTATTTGGAACACTATTTCTTGAACGTTGTAAAATCGTCGTTTTTGTTTGAAACATGTACAACTGAGAATGTCTTAGAAACGTTCTTTAACGTATGGAAAAAACACATCAGGCCGTTGAAATATCATTATTACGTTGTCTTACGTCCAATTTCATTCAAATTGTCAATGTGGAAATCCACCTGCCACTTCATGTCAGTGATTTCTACGTGCAAGTCACAGGCAGGAGCGTTTGAGATGGAGTAGAATGACCGTCAATGGTCTCGTGTGCTCTTCATAGAAAAAAGCAGGTTCAATTTGTCCTTCCATGATGGTCAGCAGAGGATTTATCATCGCAACGGAGAGCAAATCACATCAGTACGTACTACTGGACGTACTCCACTGCACGTGGTCCACGGTAATCTTACAAAACAGCGTTATCGGAACGAGATTCTTGCTCCTATAGCAGGTACTATTCCTGCAAGCTATGGATGGCTTTTATGGTCGACCCTCTTACTGCAAGACGACAATGCTAGGTCTCAAAGGCCAGGATTGTCACGGAATTCCCTAGGCAGCAGGGTGTAGAGCGGATGGAGTGGCCAGCATCCTTGCCCGACCTAAACCCAATTGAGCATGCCAGGGATGAACGTGTGTACACACGTCACCGAGCACAAGTGGATCACCCAGGATTCCGTAGAGCTGTAGTTGAGGAATGGAATCCGATTCCGCAAGCTTTCTTTAGAAACTTGATGATGAGAAGGAGTTTCTTGGACGGGCGAAGAGGGTACACAAGATATTGAATTTCCAAGTGCTTTATGTTTATCATTTTCGTTTTCGGGGGTTGGTCTATACAACTGATGTTTGGCAGTGCTATTTGATTTTTTGTCTGTATGTCACGATGTGTCACGTTTGTCAACACATTAAACATGATGATGACATTCTTAGCTCTATTATTTCTAAGAAACGTTTCTTTACCTGTGCGTCCCCACGGTCCCCTTATGGTGGCCTAACTTTTGTTTTATAATTATGTGATATTCTAGTTGTTATACTGTCTTTCGATGACAGCTTTCTATAAAGTATTATACAATTTATTCATTAATTTATGACTTTCGTCGTCACGATATGGCTGAAATATTGCCGATGTGACTTAAAATTTTAACTCACTCATTCGCTCACTCTTTACATGTGCTATATGTCATTTGACCCTATATTAATGACGCCCAGTATAGATGTTATGTGTGCCGCCTCAACCATCTCTACCTTATCCTTACCATAACATCACATTTCTCTATAAGTAAATTAACTCTCTCCTCAATGTACTCATGCTGTCTTGTTGATGTGACCCGTGAAGATCCGGGGTAGAATAGGTCTTCAGCAACCCTCTTGCCACAAAAGGTGACTATGCTTGCCGTAAGAGGCGACTAACGGGATCGGGTGGTCAGGTGCTGACTTGGTTGACACATGTCATCGGTTCCCAGTTGGGCAGATCGATGCTCATGCTGCTGATCACTGGATTGTCTGGTCCAGACTTGAACAGACCGCCGCCATATAGCTGGCATATGGCTGAGCGCGGCGTAAAAACTAATCTCACTTACACTTGTTGATTTAATACGCACCTAATCTCCTACAGAGGAGGAAAAAAAGATGATGATGATGATGATGATGATGATTCGGCACTTCAACTGATCTCATACTAGTTATAATTTATCTGTGATAACGAAATAACTTAATTTTCCTTTTGTTAAAGGAAACAGAATTATAAGATAAATTTTGAAAATGTTTATCAAATAGACCATTGGTAGGTTAAACATGGTAGTATAAATTAGCAGTTGCGATTGTTAGTGAAGTATTGTAAAATTACTGTGCTCCTGAGACGGTACATAACTCCCCAAACATTAAAGTCAGTTTAGCTCTACCAAACGTTTAGTCGTAGTATATTTGTTGTTTTTAATAACTCAACACAATCGCCTGCAGCTGAAGGGATGGTGTAAATCCAGTTGGGATCCATGCAGGTAGCAAAAGTACTGTCAGTCCCCATGGACCCTAGTATGGTGATCTACCTTCAGTTGTTGGTGATCTGTAGCTCGTTTTTTTATTTTGTACTGTCTAAACTGATTTCATTTTATGATAGCGTACTAGTTTTAAATTAAGAGCTGTGATACTCTAGTATTTTACTGACCTTCGATGACGTTCGTTTTTACGTTCTAAATTTATTGATTTTAATATTGATATAAATGAAATTATTCTCGTCACAATATGGCTGAAATATTGCCGATGTGACGCTAAATATTAACTCACTCACTATCTGTGATGACCTGGTAGTTATACTGTCCTTCGCTGACAACAATTTAAAGAATATTAATATATTTATTCTCAGCATTTGACTAACTGTCGCCACGATATGGCTGAAATGTTGTTGATGTGACGTTTAACCCACTTATTCACTCCAGACATATGTGAGCATGGGAAGCAATGCCTATCAAAGGCACAATGTCACACATTTTCGACAATTGGGGCATATGCACTCACCTTAGCTTCCTATTGATGCAATAATTATTTAGTATCCCTTACGACTTGCCTGATATCGATAATTGAAACTTCGAGGCGAACAGCTTCCAAACAGGGAACACTTGCCAAATATCGAATGAAAACAATTGCTCTGTACATCGAAAACTGTTGCACGCGGTTTGTCAGTGTTTGCCGAACTGATTTCAATTGGTGCGTAGGATATTCGCAAAGATCGCCCAAAGGGACATAACCCTATGGTGTTCGCTTGACATAATGTTCGGCCGGTAGAGGGAGCGAGAGTCGATTTAATTGAAAAATTGTAATTCAAACGCGTAATTTATAAAATCAAAAAAATTGTATGGTTGCTTCCCTGACGGCTGATCGTTAGTATTATTGAGAGAAATGCATTATTTATTTTTTAAAGAAGTGTGGTGTGATATAATGCCTTTAACTATGTCACATCGCAATGTCATGATATCATACAATCTTATTTTGCAGGATTTCTGCGTCCCGGAACAACATATAAGAAAATCACTTCAACACTAAACTCACGGGCCTATTTGAGTAAATCTCTTTGCAAATGGTTCCTGATGGAACATAAATTATGTTTCATCCTTGAAATTTTCCCCCCCGCTAAATACAACATATAGAAATTCATACCAATAGACAACACTGCTCATGATTACAGCTCTTTCTCCTGCACTCCTGTATATGAGCACAGTTAACGAGTCATTTTGGTTTATGGAAAATATAGCATTTGCAAGAATAATATGGCGTCGTGTTTACGAAACCTAGTAAGAGTATTGTTGGTAATTGGTAGTTTGTTGACTGTGTTTCTTGTATATATATCCCACTTTTCCAAACATCTGCCCCATACCTTCCCTTGGTCGACTACAGAAATATTGATGACAAAAGCAACAACGGAGAGACTGTTTAATATGATGTTACTTCCCACATGCCCGGACAAACCACCAAATATACGTAAGTATATTAATCATTAGGGTACTGCGCCATTAAACAACACCCTGGAAAAAGCAATTGTTGCCACATGTTTGAGACAATCTCATCCAGGGCGTGTTCATATACCCTCCGTACGGTCTGATATCTCATATGTGTGGCCCTGTACCCTGAAAATGGTCTGATATCCTTTCCGCGTTGCCTTTTGTCCTGAATATGGTATATCATCTGTGTGTGGCCATGTATCCTGCCTATGGCCTGATATTCCTTCTGTATGACCATGTATCAAGAATATGATCTGATATCACTTCTTTGTGGTCATATACTTTTCGAACTGATATCCCATCTGTGTGGGCATGTGCCCTGAATATGGTCTGATGTCATCTCTGTGTGGCTACATAACTTGCATATGGCTAGATATCCCTATTGTGTGGCCACTTACGCGGAATATAGTCTGATACGCCCTCTGTACACTAAATATGCCGTGCATGCTGAATATATTTATTATCAAGACCATGGCTTGCAGTACCCGGAACACTTTCTATGTCTCCTCTATGTGGAGATGACTCTGAATATGGTTTGATATCCCCTCATTGGAAGCAAATCTATCGTCTGCATTATTTGGGCTTTTCTTCCAGTGTCAAGAATAAACAGTGCCATAGAAAAGAAAACGGATACATTTTCTGTTTCAAGTTGAACCTGTGAAGCTGAATCTCACAAACATCTCCCTAGATGAGTTGCAGACTAAGTATCCCTCCCATCCCGGGGACAGATACAGGCCCGAGGGGTGTCGGTCCGGGCAGCGACTGGCCGTTGTTATTCCTTACAGAGACAGGAAGCAACATCTGGGGATCCTCCTCAACAACCTCATCCCCTTCCTCAAAAAACAACAGGCGGACTTTACGATATTCGTTGCAGAACAGGTAAATGTGTGTGTGGTGTAGTTTTTGCTGTTTATGTGGTTTATCATTTTTCGGTTGAACACTGGAAATGTATCTTATCGAAAAATGGTTCCTGCTTGCTACGCCGGTCGAAATACCGGGACCGAACCATAAATGACCAGTATGCAAATCTAGTCTTCTAAGAGCAGGGTATGAAACCCACAAAAATTTCAGCCAGACCACAGGGCTGGTTGGATGTAAAATTTGCCAGCCCAGACCAAAACTTACCTGCCCACAAAAAAATGCTAATATACATGTCTAAAATTTAACCCGACCGTCGGGCAGGTGAATTTGAGAACCTTGCAGTCTGTGTTGAAAATAACCCATCCCGGGCGGTCGGGCAGGCAGGTATTTCGAACGCTGCTTAGAGTCTTCTGAACATGTCGCAAGGCGCACTTGACGAGATACGTTGCAACGCAGGTAACTTTACATATATCCTCATTGAACTGGCCTGTTCATACACACCATCCCTATAGACCTTGTTTTCTTTAAGCTGGTATTTTACGTATGTCTGCCCTGCCCAACATGGCGAAATAGCAGCTGTTATAAAACATTATGTGTGATCCTCACTGTAGTAATTTCTTGATAAAAATGTATGAAAGAAACCTTTTTAGATATTGTAAACCACGTAGAGCTACAAATCCAGTCCCTTTATACTATCAACCTTCTGCCGACAATTTATGAGCATGTCAACACCTTTAGTAGTATAAGAACTGATAGTTTTGGACTAGTTCCCTCCAAAGCCTTAATTAGGTTTAATAAAAGGTCCATCAAAGATGAATAAATGAGCGTGGTCGAATGAGACCGTCATTGATATGCATAAGTTTTTGGTGATTTTTTTTTCTTGGGATTGTGTCACAAAGAATATATTATATTGACTCTGCAGAAGCAGCATTGATATAATAGGAGCCTTAAAATCTGTAGGGCACAGATGAGTTTCGGTAACCAAAATACAGACAAATACAAAACAAGTGCAAAAACAATACAAATGCAAAAACAATACAAATGCAAACACAATACAAATGCAAACACAATGGAACCAAAAAGTAGCGTACCTGTGTACCTCTCCCGGCGGGATAAAGAATATGGAAGTGGCAGCCCCTCCATCCAACCAACACCAAAAAGCGGCAGACGTTCCGGAGGCAATCTATACGTGCAAAAAGTTTGCTGTAGCTAAATACGAAGGGGAGAATAGATTGTTGCTACTGCTCTCTATGCCGACTGGACAAACGATTCCAGTGTATGGCTGCAAGATACGAGAAACGATGGTTGGTGGACCGTTTCTGTGTGGACTTGGCAAAAATCTGACACTCGAGATGATCGAAAAGTCAAGTTGGTGCGCCCCAGAGAGTCAAAGTACCTGTAGAGATCAAGCGTGCATAACTTCCAACTAGTCAAAAAAAATCCCAGCAATAGATTTGCTGAGTGCTGCTTTAGCAGCAAAATCAGTCCAGAAATGCCAACATGGCTGGGTAACCAACAAAAGACGATGTAACATTGGCCAGTTGCAAGTTCATTATATAATTCAATAATTTCAATTAAAAGTGGATGTTTACTGGATAAGGTTTTATTAGCCTGAAGGCACGAAAGATTATATTTTTCTTATGTTTAGGGTGTCTTTGAATATATTAAGGAGCTGTTTATTTGGCGTTTGCTCCTGCTGTAAAAATAGAGCTGTTATCCGGTATTCTAGAAGATATTGTTCTGGATCCAATGACAGTGGCTTTTCTATGATTAAAAACACGCAGTATGAAAAAACTTTGAATGAAATAGTACTTATATACCCTCTCAGGTCTGATTGTGATGCACATGTACTGAGACGTGAGCAGGTTTCCGTTTGTTGTAACCAGAGGTAAATAGCTGAAAATCCGCCATTTTGTTTTTTTATGACGTCATCAACCCCTGGTCTCGTGTTTGAGTCTATATTAGACTATGACTCAAATGACTAGTTTTAGACTAGGTGGGCAATCTAAGGTCCCCAAACAGTGTTTAGGAATTCATTCTGAGCTTAGTGGTCAAAGAGAACGGCCAAGTCCAATGGCCCAGGCAGGATTTGTGTACTTAATCAGAGGGGACGCTTTGCAAGTGTTTCCAGTGTGGTCTCGCTCTCAAGAAATGGGTCGTCACATGAGCGAAATATTCTCAATCACGACGTTAAATCCAGTTTCACCTCACCTCACCTCAAGGAATTAGAGGGTGATCCCTGGGTCGAACATGGAAAATGGTCTCCAGACTGTCCGTATTTGGCGCTGATGGGAATACCTCAGATAGAGGTGACCCGCTGGGGTAGTCATGTGAATTTACATGTGTAACTAAGAGTGTGATGTAAAATACTGTATACTTGTGAAACTGTTATTGGTAGTAAATAAATATTAGGGTATATTTGCATTGGTTGTCTATGTATAGTCTTTTGTCGATGTATAAATACAGGCTTCTCAAATACTAATCTCATTGAGATCCCAACCATGATAGGAGTAAGAGCTTGTTTTCTAGAATGATGGCTAGGTACGTGTTTTTAAGGTTCAAGTTAATGTTTCAAGACGTTGAGGAGATTCGACAACACATCTTAGAAATGAACAGAGAACACATTCTTGCCATCAATGGTATTATCAACAGGTTATTAAAGGGAAGATCACCAGTGACTCGACATGTAAGACGTCGTTTCCTGAGGAAAAATGATAGAAATTATTATCTAGCGGTTTTACGAAGATTAGTTCACAGGCTATGGGCTACAGATGGTATTTTGTATGTTTTGCCAGTTATGTGCCTATCGTAGCATTTGTTTTGAAACTACAGTTTGTCAATACGCTTGCAGATAATGCCGTTCAAAATGCCTGGTTGTTAGATAGAGCATTGGCTTAGTACCTTTTGGGAGAGCATGTATGACGCTCTTGGTAGTTATGCTGGAACCAAGAAGCTATACCGAGCCATGGAAGCTGAAGGTCAGTTAAGACCATGTGGTCTGGAGACAAAACAGTTAGAACAGATCGCGTAAACGCACCATGCTTCGCGGCTCACCGAGAAGCATGACTTTTTACGTGCGGTCAGACCACGTGCTCTTGACCACGTGGGAAACGGTCGAATCGGTCAGTTGTGTACAGGTTATGCTTGGGTTAAGATGTAATTGAGTTTAGACGTCAGTTGAGTTCAGGTTTCCCTTGAGTTCGGTTGTTTCTTGAGTTGGGTGACAGCTCGTCAAAATAGGATTTAGATATTTTATTTTAAAATAGGACTGATATAAAGAATGTATTAGTGCATCGAAATAGAAGTTCCATATAGCTAGCTGCTATAGAGCTAGATACTGTAGATAATAGACTTACGCTGCAATAGAGCTAGATAGTGTAGATAATAGAATTTAAGGTATCAAATTAAGTTTCTTGCCTCATTAGCATTTGTTATAAGAGATTCACGTTTAGTTCCCCATTTGAATTGTTTGAATTATTTCCTCAGTTTAATCAAGAGAGTCACGTTTAGTTCCCCAAATAGCATATTTCGATACTTTAATCATAGTTAGTTTAGTTTTTAATTCCACTGCGCAACACCATGGATATCTATATAAAAGGCCACGAAGGAAATTTAGCATCATTTAGCCGTGGACCAGTGACAGTGACACATCGCCTCAAGCTGTTCCTGTTTTCTTCATGAATAATCCGCAATACAACCTTTATGTGTCTGATGCTGATTAAATGGACACGATTTTACATGTCCTCGGCTAAAGGGAAAGGAGATTCTTATCATTCTATAATACATGGAGGAGAAACATCTGCCATGATGTCTGTGGATCCATGTTCATAACTGTATGACCCAGAGTGGAAGAAAGACAAACGAAAGGAATCAACAGAACTGCCACAAGATTAATTTTGTTACCCGTATTCAACAAGTTGTCGGACAGACCAAGGCTCTTATTCTTGTGAAGAAGAACGGTGGATCTAAAGCCGATAAAATGTTTTCCTCCTCCCAGAGTCCCATGAAGAAACAGAAGATGACTTTTTAGATAAAAGCAGCTTGTAGACACGTTCGTTGCCATTTAGACTCGGACCGCCATGCAGTCAAAGACGTGTCACATGTGCACTCAGACTTTTTTCAGGACCGACAATATGTTGAGACATAGAAGACCTAACTCTGCATATACCATTGAATTATTTCTTCACCTATAACAATCATTTCTTTTACAAAAATCCAAATGTATTCTTTCAATATCCAACTATAACCCCATACATTAGACGCATAAGGTAATGTGCTGCAGACATAACAACCAAAGTATTAGAGATGCAAGATTGAGAGCGACCTGATATTATTGCAAATGGACAAAAGGGACTTTGTACCCTGATCAGTTGACTGCCACTGAGCCTTTAAAAATAGGTCACCTATCCATCTAAAAGGGTTCAGTAACCTATGTGTCACATGATGTAAAATAAGTGTATTGTCATATAGTATTCATGGAAATAGAAATGAAATGGTTTTTGATGTTTATTGAATAGTTTGAGAGCAATGAAAGTTACACATTAAAATTTTGAGTAAAAGCCGCCGAAACTTTTACACGAGAGCAAATATAAATTTGTTTGTTTTCTTTATTGAGTTAATACAATTACACCATATATGACAAATGCTAAACCATTTCATCTTTATCCAACCACTTGACCCTCAATTGAGCCCCAAGTGACGTTTTAACAAGTTATTCAGTTTAGTAATCACCAGTACTCAACTGCGTTTGAGGGTCTATTTCCTGTATTTGATTCCGGTCACACACTTCTCCCTAAATGATGGAAGCTGACCCCTGAGTATACAGAGCTCATCATTCATTCTAGGCTGCCCCATTCAAGCACAAAATTTACGTTTGGCGCACTGAAGATATCATAATTTATTAACAAACAGCTACACTCGTTTATTGTTCACAGATATGGAAAATAAATACTCAGAACTTGAAGGTCCGGGTTCGAATATTGATCTTCAGTAACCCATGCTTGTCGTAAGAGGCGACTAACGGGATCGGGTGGTCAAGCTCGCTGACTTGGTTGACACATGTCATCAGTTCCCAGTTGCGAAGATTGATGCTCATGCTGTTGATCACTGGATTGTCTGGTCCAGACTCGATTATTTACAGACCGCCGCCATATAGTTTGAATATTGCTGAGTGCGACGTAAAACTAAAATCACTCACTAAATTCTCCTAATATTAATATTAATATTGTAATATTAATTCTACGTTGAAAATTCAATAAAACATATAAATAATTACAACGTATCTGTACATCAAATTTATCATATGACGTTTGCTGTGTGAACCCAACAATTTCTGAATGGCCCACGAAAATTGAGTCAGTGGGATTGAGTCTTGGGCTCACATTTCCCCACACCTAGAAAGAACTCGGGGTGCACATTTGATCACACAACTGTGTGATAACGTCTTAAAACAAAATAGAGGATATTACTATCACAGACCACTAAGGTCAACACTCAGGTCAACCTAAAGGTCACACACCTGGCCCGGAAGGGGGCTCATCCAAATGTGGGGTGGGGTAACTGTCAAAGTCGATTAGGTCACAAAAAATCACACATCTGTGTGATGTCGTGCCTTGTTGAACCATATCTAAATATGCGCGTCTATCAGCAAAGTAGTATAGTGTTAAGGTAACACTAAATCAGCTCGGAATAACATATATGGGATCTTCCTATGTTTGTCGTTGAAACATATTCCTTACTTGTTTCAGGCACCAGGAGGAACTTTTAACCGAGGTCTAATGATCAATGCTGGGGTGGAAGCCGCGCTTGAGGCGGATAACTTCACCTGCCTTGTCATCCATGATGTCGACCTCATCCCAGAGACTAGCGACAACTACTATCGCTGTCGGAAAAAACCACTTCATCTATCCACTGCCAATGCGAAATTTGACTATAAGTAGGTGTCTATCTCTACGTTATGCACGGTCATTGTTATACCTTTTCATTTTCAACAAACATTAAGGGTGATTGGTTTAAGGAATCGATTGGCTGTTTTAACCCATGTGCATTCAATATGATATGGTTTGAAATGACAATCACGTACAAAGTACGTGTTGCAACAATGCATATATACTTAGTTCCAGAAGAAACGCAACATTCATGTTCGTTTTTTAAATGTCCATAAATAAATCTACTTTACAATCATATCGAATGTGCATGTTAAATGTTCTTTGAAACCAATTTTCGAAAGTAACCTTCTGAAACAAGACTTTGAACGTCAGATTAGCCGTAACAACTGAATCTAATTATTGAACATTTTTATGGGAAACAACAACAGAAACGCATCACATAAACGCATGCCCTGACGCGTTGTGCACATGACTTTAATGAGACGACACTTTCTTCAAGAAAAACGAGAGAAAGAACCCTTTAAAAGATGCAACGGCAGTTTCTGTTGTGTTCTTTTTCTGAATGGTTCAGAGAACAATATGCCACGTCTGAGCAATGAAGCACGTCTACGTGCTCTTGGGATAATTGATGCTGGTTCCAGTGTTGTCAACGGTGCACAACATATGGAAGTAGATCGGACAACAATTTACCGACTGATTAAATGCCAAAATCAATCGAATTCGGTGAGAGATCGACCTAGAGATGGCAGGCCACGAGTGACGTCACACAGGCAAGACCGTTACATCGTAACGTCACATCTTCACAACCGTTTTCTTCCAGCTACTGTTACACCCTGTCAGACAACTGGGATGCACAACAGACCAATTTCAGGAAGCACTGTGCGTCGACGTTTGAGAGCACACCGGCTACACTGTAGGAGACCCTATGTTGGACTGATTTTGACGCCACGGCACCGTCGTCTGCGCTTAGCATGGGCTCGCCAACATCAGCATTGGGGATATGCACGGTGACAGAACGTTGTTGCTGTGTCCAAGTTGCAGATGCGAGAGTGAGAGTATGGCGTAGACGAAATGAACGTTTCAGAGCTGGGGAAGGCATGTACCACCTGTAATCTTCCAAAACAACGGTCAAGGTCGTGGAAGGGATGCAACTGCACGACACTGCATTGACAAAGTCTTAAGACCTGTTGTCGTCTCGTTCTTTAGACCCAGACCACATTTGCAGTTCCAACACGATAATGCCCGCCCAGCCGCCATTATCACAGGACAATTCCTGGCCAATCACCACATCCAGACAATGGTTTGGCCACCTCTTAGTCCTGATTTGAATCAAGTGGAACATCTCTGGGACGAGTTGTACCGACGCCTTCGTCAAAGACCAGTTCCTCCACAAAATCGGCGGCAGTTGGAGAATGCAGTGTTGCATGAGTACAATAACATTCCCCGTGCTTTCATTCGACGTTTTTTCATGTCCATGGGAAGACGGTGTACTCATGTGATAAACAATAATGGTGGTCATACCAGGTACTGATGACATCGAATATCAGCTTAAGCGTCTAAACGTGTTTAATGCAGACTCTTCAGGTTGGACACAATAAAACATTTAATCATATCTTAAATCCACTGTCGTTGCTGTTGTCTTTTATCTTTCTTTGGTGCATTCTGTGTAAAGCATATAGTGTCAGGAAGCATGTATGTGGGATAACAGTTCTTATTTCAAATGGACATGTCGCATTTCTTTTGGAACTAAGTATATAACCATTTGAAAGTACTGTTTCAGTCTTGATACTCCTTGAGTTCATATTTGCGAAACACCACAAAATAAGTCAGTTTTAAGAAATAGATGACTATCGTCGAGTTATTTAATCTCTCTAATGTTTTAAGTTATTATTGATTTCACATCTTGAGGCTTGCTGAGCGAAAAACGTCGTTTTAATATGTCATTTGAGGACGTCTTTGGGTGTGCGAAACAACATCAAATGCAAGCTGTGGCGATGCAAATATCAATATTGTAGTCCTTCAGGGAAACCATCACCTCAGTTGGTTTGATTGCAACATGATACTCTGTTTTCGTACACGTCAGTGAATATCTGTATTTAATTCTATGATACAATGAAACGTGTCAAAGATATTAAGGACCCCATTCCAATCATTTTACGACAAAGCATCCATTGCATGTCTTTATTTTGAAAAAAAGCAAGATGAATAAACATGCAAGATGCCATTCAAATTTGTTCCATTAGATTTCTGTTTGTAATAACCAAAATATACGTTTTGTCAGGCTGCCATATCAAGGGTATGTTGGAGGAAATATTGCAATAACGCCAAGTCAGTACAAGCGGATCAACGGCTTTTCTAACTTGTACTTCGGCTGGGGTGGAGAAGATGACGATTTCGGACAAAGGTAATGCTCGTTCATTGTTGGCTAAACGACGGTAGTCTATATATTTACAGACAAACTTGGAATCACGAGACAGTTCATACGCACATTTGAAGCAATGATCATTCAAGGTTCTGAACCTGTTCACCTTACCAATGATTCGTCCCTTAGGACACATGGTTGCTAAGAAGGTATTCTCATACGATGTCCCCAATGAGGTGAAAGATGATGTACATGTCTTTGGAAACTGCATAATGACCACTTACATAGTTATAATTACTTTCGCAAATACCGGAATCGGATCTCTAATATCCACATATCGACTATTCAGTGCCTTGCGGCTAGTATAACCGCAAACGAGACTGAATATTCTCTGACGTTTTATGTTTGGGATACTTCCAAGGGATACATACATTGCACATCATTTGGAGGAGACATTTTAAGTGAGTAAGTGAATGAGTGAGTCATATTGGCAAAATGTCAGCCATATCGTGATTTTAAAAGTTATACATTCATAATAAACGCAATTACATTATAAAAACTATGAAGGACAGTAAAAACATACATCCATCAACTGAATCATTCAAACCTTGGATAAACTGTTGATCTTAATACTTAACAGTGTTACAGACAAATACTGCCTTGTCGGGCATCTTGATCCTGATTGTAACGATCAGACAGGGTTGAACCCACCCGGACGTGACATTGTCTGTCTGTTGAAAACTGTGATATAAAAAAAGGTTAAAGAACCTTCAAACCAAAATGATGTATATCCTTTCGATGCCATGCTTCTAGGTGCTATCGTATGCTTTCTCGAGATCAAAGAATATCGATAGTTCATGTTCTTTATTGACTATAGCATTATTAACAAAGGATTCTAGTCGTACCAAATGATCAATGGTACTACCATGTTTCCTGAAACCACATTGAATATTCGTTATAAAGTTATTGGTTTCAAGATACCAAGTTAATCGAATATTTACCTGTCGTTGCATGATTTTACAAACGTGCGATTTTAAAATATACTAGGCACATAAAGAAACTGTGCATACAAAAATTTAAAACCTAAATTTATCAAACCTGTGTAGACACATAAGAATTAAACTTAGAGATTAGTGACATGTATCCAACATGCATGCACGTGCCACGTTCCGTGACACCAGTGGGTTCGTCCCTGAGACGTGCAATACGTTGTTGCACGTGCATTCCGGGAAAGAGAAGCAGAGCAAATGAATGCCACACAATACTGTCACTTTGGAAAGCTCAACCCCTGCCCTTGCGATCGGTCGAAAAATTAAACGGCTATTGAAACGCATAGCATGCCAAGGCTCACGTCTGCACAACGTCATGAGGCCATTGGGATGGTCCGTGGGGGAATGTCTCAACGACAAGTGGCTGCACAATTCCACTGTCACCGGAACACCATTTCTGCACTGGTGAGACGCTACCAGAACACAAATGACGTCATCGATCGGCCACGTTCTGGACGACCACGTGTAACAACACCAAGACAGGACAGATGGATAAGGGTGACCCATCTTCGCCACAGGTTTCAGACTGCAGTGATGACTGCCCGAACCATCCCAGGACTTCGCCGTATCCACCCCAACACAGTTAGACAACGTTTACGTCGTCACGGGATCAGACCACGACGTCCCGCCATACGGCCTATCCTGACACAACGTCATCGACAAGCTCGACAATGTGGTGCCGAAATCATGTCTGCAGACCCTTGTTTTGGTGGAGAAATGTTGTTTTTACAGATGAATCCAGGTTTAACATGTCCCATAGTGATGGACGTCAACGTGCCTATAGACGCGTAGGAGAACGTTATGCACAGGCCTGTGTCTTTGAGAGGAATCGCTTTGGTGGTGGTTCCGTGATGATTTGGGGTGTAATAACAGCACACCAAAGAACTCCTTTGGTGATTGTTCAGGGCAACTTAACTGGTGTGGGCTACAGGGATCAGATTCTTCGACCTGTGGCAATTCCTTTTCTGCAACGTCATGGCCCTGGGCTAACATTCCAACAGGACAATGCCCGCCCTCATACGGCAAGGGTTGCTATGGATTTCTTGCAACACCACAACGTTGACTTACTGCCTTGGCCTGCAAACTCACCGGATCTCTCCCCGATAGAGCATGTTTGGGACAAGATGGATCGACGTCTACGCCGTCTTCCTCATCCGCTAGATAACGTCCTTGACCTTGCAACAGAACTTGAGAGAATCTGGCGTGACATCCCACAAGCCTTCCTTGCACGTTTGATAGGCTCTATACGTCGTCGATGCACTGCTGTTCTCAATGCCGATGGTGGACATACCCGTTATTGAGCTTGTGACCTTTGTACCTTTGACATTGTTATCGTACTTATCAACTCGGATAATATTTTGACAACGCACAGTTTCTTTATGTGGCTAGTATACTAACGTAAAAAACTTAATCATACATCGCACGAAGTTTCTTATATATTATGTAAAATTTGAAAAGATAAACTTTCTGATGGCAAAATACGCCTGCCCAAAGGGATAGAGTCGTAACGTAAGGTAATGTGGCTTTGCTTCTCATGTAACCTCCCCTGTGTTGTATAAATGACAACACATGTGATTCAAAATAGTTTCGAGAGTTGATAAGTAGACATTGACATATATAGTTATATCCCTAAATTAAGATACGATAAGTTGGTCGAAGGTGGTCTTGTATGGAGAGCGCTTTTTAACTCTGAGCAGTCCGTCTGTCATCAAGCAGTGAAAAACGTCGACATTGTAGTGAATTTCTATATTGGCTTCACGCAATTGGTAACAATAATACAAATGATGATGTTGGTATTTGTTTCTAGAATGGCAACATTTGGTCTGCGAGTGGAAAGAAATACTCACGTGACTGGACGGTATTATGCACAATCACATGGCAAGGATAAGGGGAATCCTATCAACCCGAAAAGGCAAGTATTCTATTTTGCAACTGACGTGAGTTTCAACTCACAAATAATGATTCTCATTTAAAACGATTCCTGGTGTTCACTCGACACTGAAGAAGAACGAATTGCAGTGAGTGGTATAATACAGTTGTTATTTTGTTCAAAAGATAAAACATGAGCAAGTATTCAGTGCGACATTCAACATGATGCCCTAAAACATACCACAATTATCTAGTTTGATATCATATTACCACTTTTAGGCAAGAATTCTGACGTGGAACTTTCAACACATATTACTGAGAAAATAGAGAAAATGTTCAACCTAATGATTCAAACAGTTATTTCACTCAGTCTGGTAGTCCTCTTTTCAATTACCAGACATTGACAGTGATGGAAATAGAAATAGATTCTGTATTCTAAAAGACCACTTGGATATCTTCTTTAGGTCAGTGGTGAGTAAATGCCAAGAGAGCAGAATATTCAACCCTTTAACCATTAAGCAGTTAATTGTGCGTCCACAACTACAAAACAACACAAAATGAAAGATTAATCCCCGTGTTTTGAAACAAATACCTTTCCGTTCTCTCCATACTTGTCAAAAACACTATCACCACACGTTGGACTTTTCTACACAACCAAAAGTTCCTGTCAGCTTAACGACAGCATCGCCACACCGAAAACGGTTCCTGGGTGATGTGCCGGTGACCATCGAATAGGTGTTGTTCGAGAACTTCTTGATCTGTCTAGGGACGCTGAAACTAACTGACTTCTCCGACCAGTCGAGCCTGGAATATAAATTAAATCACGGAAATTGGTTTGGTCGTATCTCCATAACATCTATCCTATAGCAACAATTATTTGATCTGGAAGAGCATCGTTACAACTTTGTGTACCTAAAGTATCAATCGTGGATCCAGCACATTCTGGGGCTCGCCCCACGGAGCGATCTTATAGTTAAGATAGATTCTTTGTGAGTTACAATCTTCTTGAGATGAGTGAATGAGTTAATATTTACAGTCACATCGGCAATATGTCAGCTATATCGTCATTAAAACAAGTTTTACAATCACGAAAAATACATATAAATTACAGAAAGCATGTCAATCAATGACTGTAAAACAACTATACTATCACAGACATGAATATAAAACACGTATGTAAATATAAAACTGTTTAACAATAGAAGACGATACAATATAAAAACAGGCATTTGAATAGATTGCCAACAACTGGCGGTAGATCACCATACTGGGGACCATGTGACTTCCAGTACATTTGCTTCTTACATGAATCCTAGATGGATTTGCACCATCCCATCAGCTATTAGCAGCTTTTGACAATCTGGCCATACATTAAAGATAGTGACATGGTTAAATTTACTTTTCATGTTTTGGGACTTACGTACCCCCACAGGAGGACAATAAGTTTTCAATACGTCAACCCCCTATGACGATACAGCCACTCTCAAACAATACTTCAACCCCCTGTGAGGATGAAGACTAGCACAATTTCAGCTGCTCAATTGAACTACACAATTTTGAAATATATATCTATTTACAAACCTTTTCTCAAAATCTATATTTTTAAAAATGCAGTTATTAAATGATAATCAAAGTAAAAAGACCCCTCACTGTTTTGACATGCTTGACCGTGATTATTTCATCACAAGGGATACAAAACGGAGGATCTTCACCTTTCAGGAAATACTTATGTCTATAATATATTGTATGGCCAATGTGACTTTATCGCATAATGACCTCCTACAAATCTGCACTGACAACCCAAGTAACCAATTTTTGATTTTATCAGATGTAGTTTATTGGTACCAACATGGAAGTCCCACTTCTTTTGCACCAGATCTCGGATATATGATGAAATATTAGCTAACATCTGGTAATCCAGAGGATAGTGTTCTGGATCCAATGACAGTGGCACAAGCCACTGCGCCATCATCCTTGGATCCATCTGTAAGTAAGGATTTGTGTGTATTATATTTACTTTTTAATTGCTTAATTTTTTTTTAATTATTGATTATATTGTAATTCATTAGTTTCTGATTTTTTAATTGCTGTGAGATTTAGGTCAACTTGTGGTCTAACTATTTACCATGGAGGAGGATGAAAGGAGGTATATTATCCAGCTGAATGCTAGCAACAGAACGGAAAGGTTTGACTCTTATTCCTAAAGGTGGAACCAAAATTCATTAGAATATACATACAGTTTTGTTATGTATTGTAAAGTTAATTTTATACGGAGATGGTTTAGAGATGGCTCACCAGCCTCGACGTAGTGACTGTCAACAGATCCAAGAGAAAGTCTTAGACGTTGATGGTGGACGGAATCTATTCGTTTTAGGTGCTTTTGCAGGCTCAACCACAATGGAGCCATAATCAAGTTTCGAGCGGATCGATGATCCATATAGGTGTAGGAGGGCAGCTTGATCCCACCCCCACTTTTAGTTGGAAACGACTTTCAACAAGTCGAGTGCCTTCAGGACTTAGTATTTTATATGCGGAAGAAAAGTTAAATGGGAGTCAAAAATTAGACCCAAGAACTTAACCTCCTTGACAACGTTGATTTGAGTCCCATTAAAACATATACTGGACAGAATAAGTTAGGGATATTGGTATTTTTACGATTGATATTTTATCAGAGTGTCAATGAATAAATAGATCATTATTCATAAATGTACATATATCCCTAACTATTTTTGTCCAGTATAGTTCTGGGTCTTTATGTAGTTTATATTTACGGCAGAAATGGATGCAATTTGATTTTGATTGAGAAAATCTGAAACCGTTTTCATTTGACCATTTGTGAATTTTATTGAGACACAGTTATAACTGAGTCTCTATTGCATGCATATTTTTACCGCAAGAAACATTAAAATCGTCCTAAAAAAAGATCCATCGACTGTATCAGTAAAAACCTTTGAAAGACTATTCATTTTAATACCAAATAAAGTAACAGATAACATACAGCCATGTGGTACACCCTGATCCTGAACGTAATGATCAGACAGGGTGGACCCCACACAGAGCTGAAATTGCCTTGTGTTTAATAACTGGGAGATAAAATGGGGTAAACCACCTCTCAAACCGAAATCATGTAAATCCTCCAAATAGCCGTGCTTCCATATGGTATCATAGGCTTTCTCCGGAGCAAAGAAAATTTATACTATGTGTTGTTTAGTTACAAGTGTTTTTTTAAGAAAGGATTCGAGTCGTACTAGATGGTCCATAGTATAAAGATTTTTTCCGGAAACCACACTGTATATTAGTAATTAACTTTTTATTTTCCACATACCAAATTAATCTGTTGTTGACCATACGTTCCATGGTTTTGCAGACACAACTGGTCTGTAAAGAAACTGGTCTGTAATTGCAAGGATCAGTATGATCCCGGTCAGGCTTCGGTATAGGGAATACAATAAATTTATTCCCCGAGATGGAAAATTCCCTGATAACCATATTTATAAAAAAAGAATAGTTAGCATTGTTTCAAAACATGATTCGGGCGAATGCTTCAGGAGCTGATAGAAGATATCATCAGCCAGTTGTTGCGTCAAGAGTTTGCTCAAGGGCGGTAGCTCATGTTATGGAGATAATTCATTATAATCTTCACCATTGCTTCAGTTAAAATTGATTCTTTTCTCCTCCTGTTTCTGATACTTTTGAAACTGAGGGTCTTAATTGGATGATGAAGAGTGTTTGGCAAGAGTTTCGCCAATTTACGATGTATGATTCTGCTTTTTTCCTACACTTTCTGTCCGGTTTACATTCGTTATTAAACCATGGACCCATATTAAACCAAGTCTAGGGATTCCGAATGTGTGGAATTGCAGATGACTTTCCTATAATTTAGTCCGGAATGTTGTTTAATATATTTGAGAACAACTGTATAGGTTCTTTGCTGTTCGCAAAAAGATCATGTTTTAAGTGATCAGTACATTGTGTCTTATATAATGACCAATCAACATTGCTGAACTATTTGATCGGCTTTCTAGAAGTCAGTAAGAAATGAGACATAAAACTTTATGGATAACAGCTTCATATTTATTGCATAGAGCGACGTTATTTAACTTGATACGTTGTAAGAATCTACATCGAAACGTCGCTCTATGCAATAAATATGAAGCTGTCATCCACAAAGTTGTATGTCTCAGCATTGGTGAAGTTCCTTCGTCACAAAGGTGGATTATCACCAGAGTTGATTGTTTTGAAAATGGTGGGGAAGTGATCACTCTCACATAGTTCATGGTGGACCATCCATTCAAATTCATTATTCAAAATGGAGTCGGTGAGTGAAAGATCAAGTGAAGAATATGTTCCCGTAACTGGATGTAAATAAGTTGCTGAATCATCACTGACCTTTATTATTAGTGTGGGCACGTAGCCAAAGCGGGTTGTGTCCTTTGAGGTCACCCATGATGTTTCATGGCTTTGGAAGCAGATCTTATAGATTTTGAAGATCCTACTGTTGAATATCAGAAGACGGAGGCATATGCAAGCTGCACACAGTGATAATGCAATGAGTCAGTCAAACGGCTTCAGTTTGGAGATTGGTATTAAGATGGACAGGGCTATGTATTATACCCTGCCGTACCAAAATGGAGAGCTGTACTTCTTAGGTATGTCCCTTAAAGGCCAAATGTTGACGGTTGAAGATCTTGTATGAGTAATGTATTTAACTGTATATTTCGGTCTTCTGCAATTCCACTGAATTATATTGGCCAGTTGAGTCAGGTGGCTCAATTTGAGATCGTTCCCTTGAATGTGAGAAGGAACTATTCTTCCGCCTGACCTGTGAGGACAGAGTAACCTTCATATCTAGAAGTCCAAAAGATTTTTCTAGAGCAACCTCAGGAGGGGAAGGGATGGTAGGGGTTTGTTTACTATTTAATCTGTTCCTTACCCCTTTTCTTGCATGAACTTGCGCTGGCGGTACAAGCCGTTTCAGATGGTTTATCAATCTGACTCTCTCTCTTTGACATCGAGGAGTAGACTGAGTGACTGGGGAAGTAGACTGAGTGACTGGGGAAGTAGACTGAGTGACTACGAACGTAGGTAGAGTGGCTGAAACAGGTTCTTCTGACTTGTCCATGTCAAGTCAATCTGACATGCAATTGAGGATGTTGCTATAGCACGGGTCACTGCAGCGGAATATGCTATATTCAACGGGATTTTCGCATCTAAGTATGAAATGTTTTTTTCACACTTTACTTTCATAATTTTCGCTTCCCTTTGCCACACAGGGCAGGACCTGGATGAAGAAGGATGAGCACCTTCCCAATTCGCGCATTTATACTCTTTTTGACAGTCTGTATTATCCTGGCGATCTCCACAGCAGTGACACACCACAGAGTTTCGACATGACTTAGACCCATGACCAAAACGTTGACATGTATAACACCGGAGTGGATTGGGAACATACACCTCCACTCCGCAAATATCCTGCTGTGATTGATTGGGGAATGGTTGCAAGTGCAAATGTCAAGAGATAGGTGTTGGTGTTTACGACGACGCCCTATTTCTTGATAGTGAAACGTTTCGCCGCTGTAACAGCCTGCTCCATAAGCTCTGTTGCAGCCTCAGTATTTGCAAACGTTTTAAATGACCAAAGAATTAGAGTTTGCTGTTTCCGTGCACACTCTACCAGAAGCGAGACGAGGCTTCTCTTATCAAACTCTGTATCAAAGTATCTTTGCAGTATATCACTTAACTATATACTAAGTAAAAGCGTGTCTTTAAACTCCTCTATGAAGATCTGTACAACAATACGACTTCTCTTGTTTCTTGTATCTTTGCAGTATTTAACTTAACTATATTCAACATAAAAATGTGTCTTTAAACCCCTCTATGAGGATTTGTACAACAAGAAGTCATCTCTTGTTCCGCCTCTAGGAATAAGTGTCAAAAACGTCCTTTCTGCTGCTGGCAGTGAGCTGGAAAGTATATATCCTCCCCGCATTCTTTCCTGTGCTCCTTGGCAATTAGTGAGCCCAGATATTGACCTTTATTTACAGATGAATCCAAGGATGGTGGCGCTGTCAATGGATCCAGAAAAATATCTTCCACAATACCGGACAATAGCGGAAGGCAATGACATATTAACGGCTGTTAAATATAGTAATACCACCTTCAATATAAACAATACATAATCTTTTCGGACTCTAATTTCGTGTCTTCAGGCTATAATGTTTCTTGTGAACATCCAATTTTGATTATAATACGATATCGTCCTCTGTTGGTTTCCGAGCCATGTTGGAATTTCTGGTAATACAATGGCTGATTTCGCAACAAATCTGTGACACCACTTCTAATCCCATACGCCGACTACAAACCTGTGCTTAGAACATATACCGTGTACATCAAATAAAACCAGCAATTTGTTACACCTACTTGGGTTATCAGTCCAGATTTGAGGAGGTTATTATGCTGCGATGTAGCATTGGCCATACCAGATACACACACGAATACTTTTTCTCCGTTTTGCATCCCTTGTAACGACAGAAACACGTTCAAGCATGTCCTGCTTGACTGTGTTGATTATTCCATCACAAGGGATAAATATTTCAGTGTCAAAACATTGAGGGATTTTCTAGTAATGTAAATTGTCATTGTCTTATTAATGTTTTAAACGAAATAGAATTGATTGGAAAGATGTGGATGATATGTTTTCTAAATAGATTATTGTTATTGTAATTAAGTTATATTTGATAAATGGTAGTTTAAATTACCAACCGAGATTGTCAGTGGCTGTATCCGCAAGGGGGTTAAGGTATTGTAAAATTATTGTCCTCCTGAAAGGGTACGTACGTCCAAAACATTCAAAGTCAATTGTAATCTACCACATAATTTAATCGTAGGATATATGTTATTTTAACTATGACTAGATTTGTCTCCAATCGTTAGCAATTGAAGGGTTGGTGTAAATCCAGCTGGGGTCCATGGAGGTTGCAAAAGTACATGGCCGCACTCTATCTATGGGGCGGAGGTCTGTAAATAATTGAGTATGGACCAGACACTCCTGTGATCAACATCATAAGTATCGATCTACGCATTTGGGATACGATGACATGTGTCGACAAAGTCAGCGAGCCTGATCACACGATCCCGATACGACAAGCAGGATTTGCTCAACACCAATTCGAACCCGGATCGTCACGGATGGTGTAATTTCTGGGTATTACCTACTCAATAACACCCGTAAATTTAACAAGAGGTTAAGCCTTCTCCTAACATTATTTGTAACCGTTTTGGTTTTTGAAATATATGCCATGTAGCTCTACTCACGGGGCATAAAGTCTTAAGAGGCTCCAGGAATGGTCCTCGACAAATAGCATCTGTACATGTTTTTTATGTTTAATTACCCGTGAAGATCCGGGTTAGAATTGATCTTCAGTAACCCATGCTTGTCGTAAGAGGCGAGTAACGGGATCGGGTGGTCAGGCTAGCTGGCTTGGTTGACACATGTCATCGGTTTCCAATTGTGGAGATCGATGTTCATGCTGTTGATCACTAGATTGTCTGGTTCAGACTCGATTATTTACAGACCGCCGCCATATAGCTGTAATATTGCTGAGTGCGGCGTAAAACTTAACTCACTCACTCACTCACTATGGTGTTTAATCATTATTTCAGAAATATCTTGCTTGGGAAAGCAGTCGGACGATTGAAAACGGATGGGCTGCTCTCCACACATGTCAATACCACAGTATCTCACAGAAGTGTTGTCACGTTGCTTACGGTATCCATAGATACACAGTTCTATGCAAGAACAGCCCGTAGATAATATTGTCGCTATATGCGACTGTCACAAAATACCTTCGGTCTGTGATGTTAAAAAAGTTGGGGGAGGTTACATAAGATATTGGTACTGTGCCCTGTTATTGATTTGCTTATTTTAGAAGATGCTATTTGATGAACACAGAGAATTTTCTTCTATTATTCTTTGATACAAGGTTTCGGGTCCTGTTCCGGTTCCATCATCAGGCAAAACTAATAAACAGTTAACTGTGCCCATGACGTCATAATGCAATGAAAACGTGATACATGTGGACGTCATAATGGATACAGATAGCAGGGCTAATAGGAATACATGTTATTAGGAATATATAAGATCTTGTTTACTACACAATTATTGGATTAATTTAGAAACGTATAGATACTGATTTATTTAACTGCGGCATGGTAGCTCAGCGAGCTAGCAACATAAAACCAGCTTAAGTCTGGGCTTGGACAAACAGCCACACATACACATCCATGCACGTCGTCATATGAGCGAAATATTTTTAAGTACGACGTTAAACCCCATTTCACCTCACCTCACCTCACCTCACCTCGAGAATATCTCTCTTGGAGCAAATACCCGTGAGAAACCATTTGTAATTTCAATTTCTATCCAGTTCGAGCAACACTGCCATGAAATATATTTCTGGGAGTACATAACTGAAATACTGTTGCACTACACGTGGTCCTTTTTAGTAGTCTCACGGTGCCTGAACCACGTTATTTCCCGTTCCGCTCATAAATTCCAAGTCATATATTAAAATAAAAAGTTGTCCGCATTTCTTTAAGTAATGCAAAGAATAAACGATAACAAACAATTTCATATCATGATATATATATTGAATAAAACATGAAACTTCATATTTGGAGAGATGAATTATATTCAAAATGGATACTTAAAGTAGTTAACATGGACGAATACCATAATGACCAGGTGTATGACGCATTTTAACTGTGGTGAACCACGAGGGGTGAATGCAAAATGCTCTTTTGTGAAAAACACGACACTGTACATGTATACGTGGGAGGGGTCGCGTGACCACAGTTTCATGTGCCTAACCACCAATATGTGCACAGCATATACTGGTGATGAGACAAAAGCACGTTAACCATCTTTGAAAGATACACAATTCTCATGTCACGGCTTACAAATGTTGAATTAAATGTAATCCTGTAATTGGCCTGCTCCAGTCAACTGTGGCTGTTGCCCGTGCACATGCGAATCAGTGTTGCATGTAGGAAGATGGTTGTGGCGTAGCGTGATGGTTTAGGAAGCTCCGGGCACGTGCGTTCGCGTATTCTCGTAATTCGTGGGAGGCTCCATGCACCGTGATATGTCAAGTCGATGTCCCGGAGCTGGTACTGTTCATGGCCCAGGCCTCTAATTCCAATATGACAATGTAACACCACACGCAGCTGATTTTGACATGACATATCCTGCAAAATGCGGGCATTGAAATGATGGCAATGGGGACAACCTGACCTCAATCCCATCGATCACGTGTAAGATGCTCTTGAAAGAAAGCTTCTTGCCTTGAGACGTCAACCAAAGAATGTTCAAGACCTGGGCGCCACGTTGGTACAGCAAGAGCCAAGGTTGCCTAATGCTGTTTTCACGGGTGTAAGAGAATTTACGTTATTGCTAGTTCCTGTGATATAAAAAGTGACCTTAACGTGCAATTGTAGCCTGCGGAGGGAGCATCATGATGCCTTGTACTGTTTGATTGTACGCTCATTACGTCCATAAACCAGATTTATCCACTAACAACAAACTTTGTTCTATATGAGTATGCTTGGGACAACCCGTGAAGATCCGGGTTAGAATAGGTCTTCAGCAACTCATGCTTGCCACAAAAGGGGACTATGCTTGTCGTAAGAGGCAACTAACGGGATCGGGTGGTCAGGCTCGCTGACTTGGTTGACACATGTCATCGGTTCCCAATTGAGCAGATCGATGCTCATGCTGTTGATCGCTGGATTGTCTGGAACACTCGATTATTTACAGACCGCCGCCATATAGCTGGAATATTGCTGAGTGCGGCGTAAAACTAAACTCACTAACTCACTCATGCTTGGGACATAAAGTACCACATGTGACGTTTCACTCTTTGTTTTGTATGTTATGTGAGACAGGAAATGAAACAGATGTATGTTTAATGCCGTATAGATTGATTATGTCGTCTCACCTTAGGCAAGTGTGTTTGTTCAAAATTGCCTCTGTTCACCCTGCAGAAAATGGGTACCCGGTGGAAAAAGGCAAGTGACTATAACCTTCTAGCGCCTAACAGGCATCGTTGGTTATCCGGGGTAATAATGTGCAGTGTGATTGATTGTTAGCGCTATGAGCATACCTAGTGTGGAGTTTGGCGTTACATAAATGGACACATTATCATTATGTCCAGATGCATTGGAAGGTGGCATGCGTTCTCTGGGCATACCATAATAATATTGGACCTCCGTGCCTTTTGCAAGTTCGTCTTGACTGTACATCAAGTCGTTTTATTTGACGATGCACGAACTCAGATCGCCAAGAAAAATGTTCCACAAGTAAATGCGATGGTGTGTGGCTGTCATTTACTCCGTCAGAGAAGTTCCTATCCTTGGATATATTCCTTTGTTTGAAGCAGTCTTGTAGACCTTTTGGCCAGACATAGTCGCAGACAACGTCGACCAAGATATTAACGACTTCGCATGTTCAAGTTCAAATCTGACATGTGCCCCAAATACTGATTCCGCCGTGAATACAATATCTCAGTGGGTTATTGTTTTCCCAAGTACGTAGAGTGTTTTGTACAGCATTGCAATTACTTGTATCGCTGTCCTGACATTGGTCCGAAACCTGCTAACTATTTGCGGTCAATATTGGCAAACCCGGTTCCATCGCCAGTGTACATACTCACAAAAACATTGCGGATACCGCCAAGATACGTTTGTGAAGTATGTAGTCTGCCCATCCTGCAAATCCATATACCTGTAAGATAACTGTTTCAAACACAAGAAACTCTGCCAGTTCAAGAATTGTCCAAATTGTCCACAACGTTCCTGACACAGTCTTCAAACTACATCAAAATCAGTGGAGCGCACATTGTATTTCGCCGATTCACATTTAAACTCGGCTAGTATCCTTTTTAACATATGTTATATTTGGGATTACACTTTCTTAGTAAAGTACAGATTCTAGTACTTTTGCTGGGTTGAGTCCCATCCGGGATTCGAACCCACACCCTCAGAGTCAGGCACCTAATCGTCAGCACACAAAGTCTGCCGCCTAACCTGCTCAGCCACCGCGACTTCCACAAAAAATGGAAGTCGGACAACTGGTAGTACAGACTGCGGACTTTGTAGTATCCTATTCTGAATATTTATGCGAATGTATTGAGTCCTGCGGACTATGGCAGAGAAGTGTTTTGTTTTTAATGTTCTTTTCCTGTAGTTTGCAAGGTCATGTCACATGTAGTTGAATCTTGCTTCACTCTTCCTCATTGATCCTTTTTAATGAATGTGAAATGTCTACTCTAGGCACTGGGACACAGAAACAGCAGTTATTCAGTACTCGGAACTAATGTTCCGAAAATGAAAGTTAAATCGTGACATTATGACATACGTCAACAAAGTAAGTCAGTCTGACCAATGTTATTTACCTCTAACAAAACCATGGGTCTCTGATAACGATCATTTCCAACGCGTTCCTTCACGGGGCGTGCACTTTGGCGTTCGAATGGATGAAAAAATATAAAAGATGTTTCTTGATACCGACCGCAAACAATGCAGGCATGGATCGGATGTATATGCAACTACATAATCATATTGCACAAAGAATGTAAATTAATATACGATTGATTAACTGATAGCAGACGATTTGCAAATTATTACATAGCCGCTTCATGCACGAAAACCCGTAAAGGTCCGGGTTAGAATGAGTCTTCGGCAACCCATATTTGTCGTAAGAGGCGACTAACGGGATCGGGTAGTCAGGCTTGCTGACTTGGTTGACACATATCATGGTATCCCAATTGCGTAGCTCGATGCTCATGCTGTTGGTCACTAGATAGTTTTGTCCAGGACCGGTTTTACAGACCACCGCCATATAGCTGGAATAGTGTTGAGTCAGGAAAAGAAACAAACAAACATGTAAGAAATATAGCATATGTTTGTGAACTTCTTCTGTGTCTTCCATTTCGGTTATAAAAACCTTCATTGTAGATAGCGTCGGTTTTAGATTAACCATACAAATAAACATTCATCTCGTCATTATTTATTTAACCTGGAAAAAGATGTTGATGTGACCATAAATTGATATCGATCGAGATAAATGTTTAATGTTAGATTCCTCATTTACGTTAATCAATCTGTGATTTGACATCGGTGGAGATCAATTCTTGTATCCGTCTAATGATTTTGGAATCCTTTTAATATCAACACACAACAGCAGCGCCAATATTCATTGTGGATAATCTGTTCAGATTTCAATGTCTAGTGAGTAAGGTTCTATTCCGCTTTTAGTACTATTCCTGTAGTATATCATGGTGAGGGAAATAAAACATGGGTTATATACACTGTACACCATGTTGGGAATCGAACCCGGGTCTTCGGTGTAAAGGGCGAACGCTTCAACCATTGACCCGCGAAAATTTCTAACTTTTAACATTATATATAATTTAAACCATGGCGGGTCAGATTGGTGTGGATGAAGTTCTGAAACGATGCAGGTGTTTGACGCTCACCACGTTCTATACATCTTCGAGCACGGATACCGGTCCTGACGAACTTAAAACACAATATTAACGATTCGAAGCCACAATCGTAGGTTTCTGGAAGGTGTAAAGGGCTCATGTCGGTTGCTAGAAACGTTGTTCCACTACAATGCTGGACCAGATGTAAGTATACTACTTGATATTTCAATTAATGATCTTGAAATCACCATTTTCTCAGAAAAAGAAACTGTTTTTTACGCCGCAGTCAGCAATATTCCAATTATATAGCGGTGGTCTGTGAATAGCCGAGTCTAGACCAGACAATCTCGTGTTCAACATCATGAGCACCAAATTAAGCAATTGGGATACAGTGACGTGTGATCATGTCAGCAAGCCTGACCACCCGATCCCGTCAGTCGTCTCT